CTGAATACCTTCACCAGTACAATCGCGGATGTTATCACGTCCCTTTTGTGCTGGAAGACATCAGACTAGGAGCCACATGTCTGGTTGGTGTAGGAACTTGCCGAGCCAGTCAAGGTCAAGCTTAGGAGTCGCGTCAATAACGCTACTCATGCTGATCAGTCGTGTGGAGAAAATTTGTACTTAGTAGTTATTGTCCGTCACTATTTTGTAAATAGCACGCTATCGCTTCTCATTCTATCTGACCTCCTTCCACAGTGATAATTCTATTGTCTTCTCTACAGTTATACAGCTATAGAAGGCCTCCTAATTTAATAATAACCGTAATTACGAACCCATGAATACATAAGATAGAAGCCTGCAATCTAACACAATTAGATTAGGAATTGCCAACTACAACCTAATCCAAACAATTCCAGAGAGATCTAACACTGTAGGGTTAAGCATGGTACCTTCGATGGTCGAGTGATCTGAGGTACAGTGGTAGCGGTTGGACACTGATGCTACAGCGGCCGTGTTGCTCTATGTTAGATCTAGGACGTTCCCGTCCCTGTGCGTTGGCTCTCCAACAATGCTAACTAGGTCCATGTCGTGGGCTGTTGCCCATTCCATAATCTGGTTACCATTGCCGTACTGATTTGTTGCTAGCGGTTGCCAATGCTGTGACACAGAATTGAAATCGCCTCCAACAACCACTAGACCTCTAATTTCCCAACGTACTAGGGGCTCCAAGGTTCCACTAGTGCCTGGGGCACGGTATACGTTGACAAAGGTTGGGCTGCCCATCTTTACAAAACAGTAGTCAGATGTCGGGCCTGACAACGGTGGAAATAGTTGAGTCGCATGACTACCTTTGAGCGTGAAAGTTATCGCGCGGGGCCGGATGTCTGTTCCTCCGAATGGTATGTGGCTATTGTAGCCAGGGTGACTTTTCGTTATAAATCCCCCCTCTTTCTTTCTTGTCCATGGTTCCTGTACCATGACTACATGTGCACCGGCATCCCATGCCTGCTGCAATGCTATATACGTGTTTTCCCCACCTATTCCGACATTCACTTGGTGAAAGTGGATGGTGTTGTACTTGCCTTTTGGTGCTTTTGTTGAGGGGTTTCCTAACATGAACACGACATTGTTGAGTCCTGGGCAATGACGGTTTCAACCGCATTACCCTTCCTTTCAGAGTACGCTAGAGCAGCGTGATTATCACGATGTCCGCGTTCTCTGATGATGTGAAGTTCTGCCGGGGTGCGGGGCAGAATTATCCCGTTTTGTCGTCTTGACCGGGCCATACAGCTGCCCTCATTTGAGTGGTGAGGTCCCGCGCAATTTGAGCACTTTGGCACCTTTGCCTGGCACTCTGATGTCTCATGAGTTCCCCCACATCTCCCACATCATTGGCTCCGAGTACAGGAACGCGTTGTGTGGAATCCCCAGCAACGTTGGCATTGCTCGATTGGTCTTCGGCGCGAGAAGGGAATTGCTGGTCCGCTCTCGTCAAAGAGACGAAACTTTGTGTTTGCTGGTTTTTGTTGGAAATGAACAATCCAGCTTGTTGAGTATTGTCCAAGCTTTGTTTCTGTGGGCCTTACCTGGATTGGTGTGGCGCCACATACAGCCTGACATTCGTTCTTCACCATATCGTTGGTGATTGGGATGCTGCCTTCAAGCGTCCTGATGTACAATGGCACATGAGGTACGATCAATGATGTCCATTTGGACGCTTCCTCAATCACGGTGTTGTCTTCCTGTAGAGAAGGTGCAATCCTCATGATTGTATCTCTCAATGCATCTGATGCGCATTCGAGAGCGATCCCCGACCTGACTGGGTACATGGAGGTGATAGCTGAGGCTGCTATCCCAGCCTTGTCGGTTATTATTTTCTTGATCGTAACTGGCGAGAGCTTGTGCCAGTGGTGATCTCTCCCCAATCGAAGGAACAGGCGTTTATCCTCCTTTTGGGTTGTCTGTGGTTTCGGGTGGCTTGATGGAGCAGGCCTTCGCGGAACTTGCACATTTGGTGGTGTCGGTAGCTTGGCTGCTTTATGGGCTACTGTCACCCAGGGCGAGCTGGTGTCTTGAGGCTTTGGGGGTAGAGCGTGGCTGTGATCCTCAACAGCTGTATTTTTCCTAGGCGCGACTGGTTTTGGAGTGCTTGCCATGGTGGGGGGCTTCTTACTTGGAAAGTTAGATGCTTCTACCTGATCTACTGCGAAGGCAGTGATAACAGGCGTGATGTTTTCCAGCAGAGTCGCGACAACTGCTGCTGCTTGTTTCTCTCCTTTGCTCTTAGCCCAGGAGTCGATTAGTTCTAGAAATTCCTGGGCTATATCCATTCTTTCTTTCCGTTGTTGTTCTGCTTTGTGCATTGTATTCACAATGCCAAGCAGGCTTGGGTGAAGTTGCCCTCCTGGATTGGAGGGCGTTGTCGATGACAATGCAACAGCTGGGGCCATTGCACCGATTGAAGATTATTGTAAATAAGGGTAATGGGTGATGCGATGTGTTAGGTGTTGATCGATCAAAGTGTGGGATTATGATTTGATTAAATTTAACGTCGTGCCAGTGCATAGCATGTAACTTTTGAAACGTGCCGGTCGGCCCAGTTCCTTACGAACTACCCGACGCTCTGACGCGCCCCACAGCACCTGGAAATTGCAAGAGTCCGACCAGCTATCCGAGTGGAGGGCAAAGGCTGAACACCTATCAGTGGTGTCTTCTACGAACCTGGGAGTGAAATATCCTCCCAGAGCCGAGATTCAGTCACGACAAAGGCTGAATTCGAGAGTTTTCGTCGAGTTTGCGATCGGAAGGAGTGTAGCTGGCTCATTTTTGGTCGAAAATCCGACTTGCAGAGATTTCACGACTGCAAAACTCAACGAAATCAACCATCTACACCCCAGATTCGAACCGCACACAGCCTATAACCTGTCTGATGTTCGTATGACAACAACCGACATCTTCAAGATCCTATTTTCTTTTTCTCTGGAAATTCATTCTCAGCCAAACTCATCTCGCGGCCCTCTCAACAATCATCTCACCACCTACCTGAGCAATCCCATACCTCCAAAAGCCAAATCGCTATCAAAGAAGCAAGAGCATATCCGACCCTCCGCAACTACCAGTCGCTGTGAAGATACGGTCGAAATACCGGCCTTAGATGCGTCCTCACCTCGGCCAAGAGCACCAACAACTCGACCTGCGACGAATCGCCACCGACGAAATACGTACGACATTTCGCCGGCACACCAACTAGAGCGTTAGACAAATGCTGGAGCACCGGTACCTCGGTCTTGAGCTCTCAGTCACATTTTCGACCTATACGGTTAGTGGTACGGCAGCGACGGGGCAAGGCCGGAGGGGTGGATATTCTACAAAGTTTCTGGGATGACGAGATCGGCTGAAGGATAGACGGATGCTGCATGAAGGAATAAAAGGGAATACAAACTGAGGAGGCCTTGATGGGCGACTGGGCTAGGTCTCCAATGAAGAAAAAGACCCCTGGATGAGATTAGGAGATGCTGGGATTGAACGGAAGGAAAAAGTTACAGATCGCGAAGGTGTCAAGGGCTCAGGTACTTGGCGGCCGAGGGAGAGGAGGAGTTTGCGCTACGTTGTTTACACAGCGGGTTTCTGGACAGTCAGGCTTGGTATGATTCAACACTAAGGTGAAGTCTGATGTGGTCCAGTCATTTAGGCGGGACGAGGTGTATCTGTACTTCATGGTAGTTAACCTGAACCGGCCCGGCCTCACACATGCTTAAGCCCCGGTAGGAGTGCAATAGGTGACATGTACCTAGCACGTAAATATTAGAACAGAACAGCTGTCTGCCACTCTACTTTTCAATTCAAAGATAGTAAATTTCCCTCTACCAAGAACTTCCCTCTTGTTCTACAAGTAGTTTTAAAGAAGAATATTGGAATAACAGAAAATTTTCAGGAATGATGACACTGGTCATGCGTCATGGCTAGACAGCTGAATAATTATTATATAATCATGTAAAAGGGATAATAACAATCCATGAGAAGTAAAGTGGGAGTGGCGACTCTTTCGTAGTTGACGTTATCAGCTGAGTGTCTTTAACACTTTTTTAAATTTTTAGACTCAGTGTAAGCATCTTTGCCGAGTAATTGTTGAAATAGTGAAAGTCTCAAGTCGAACTCCATGCATATGAACCTGTCGGCGTTAGTGCACAAAAATCATCTCATGTAACAACGATCACACCAGTCCCTCGTGGCTTTCACTTCCAGGGATAATTCAAGCAAAGACCTAGTCTAATCATCGCTGAGCCTGCGCTCATGATAATGAGAACGCCCAAAGTGGCACCGCCTATCACTTCCATCTTGGCTCCGGATGACGTAGCCTCAATCGCGCACATGCTGCGTTTCCTTCACACTCCACTACTGCCAATTGTCATTACATGGATCTAACATTTAACTGATTCTAGTTTTTTTCTTGCTCATTTTTTGGAAAAATACTGCTGGCGCTGTGGAGCAAAATCCAAGAGAGTCTAAGAAAAATGGGTCTCAATATTCTTCTATTGGGTCTTTGCCCTGACGAAAGCAGTACCTTGTGCTGCCAGTAGTGTCTCGAGCATCAGGAATTCTCACTGCTAGGTAAGCGCGGATCACATCCAAACAACAGCACATTACTGCATGTAGCCTAGTAGGTTGGAAGTTTCTAAATAGGACAGTGGAGTTTGTGAATATCATCCAACTTCCACTGGCAGGGAATTTATAAATAGGACCAGCCTGCCCCTCAGTCTGAAAAATACTTAAGACGGTTAATAGAGCAATACCCAAGTTCCTTATACAAATTCTCGGTTTGAGCCTGTTGTTGCCCACTAACTTGGCTCTTATACCTATTTTTATTATCAGGAATTTGAAGCACTAATGTATATGCTCTTTCCATCTATACCCCTCCATATCGATACATGTCTAGTACATTTCTGATATGAAAAAGGACCATTGTCTCAAATATACTTCGAGCAAGCTCAACTAACAGCATGGGAGCCTACAGCATAGATATTTGTCATGATGAGGGGCAGAACACTGGATGCAGTAGAATATCTGACTCATTAGGAATATCAAAAGCACGGAAGTCCTCGGATGACTCGCCTCCTGCACCTCAAGATGCCCAATATTCCATAGATGAAAAAAAAGCTATCACTGTTTGCACAGAGGCTACCTACTCTATTTTTGGAATTCCCGAACAAGAACAAGTTGACGGCCAAGACGTGATCAACTATCTAACCACCCTAACAACTTCGGAATTCTTTGACGATGCCATAACAAGTCCTGAAGAAAGCTGTGCCCGGAGCCTGCGTGTGAAACCTTTTCCACTTTCAATAGCATCAAAGGATAATGGTACTCTTCAGAGTCAGACTGAATTGCAACGCAATGAACACTTGAGATTGGTTCCCGAGTTCGATAACCTAATGGCCCATCTTTACCAGTGGGCTGACGTGCGGCAAGACTATATTGATCAGGTCTGGGGGGATGCAGTTCCGCTCGAATCATTTACTCGCTCGACATGTGAACAGTCTGAAAGTGTTAACCCGAAAGCCTACAATTCGAAGGCTATTAGGCGGCTAGACGCTATACTTGATCATATACAGGCAGATTTTTAGGTTGGTCTGAATTGTCCTCTGTGCAATTAGACCACATTTATACCTTCAACTATTATACATGTTCCCACGCAATCAAAAACTGACACACGTGAAATTTTTGACCTAAAGAATTGCTGAAACTGCGGGCAAAATGGTAACCATTGTACTTCTAGGATGAAGTATAAGCTCGATATCGTTCAATAACATGCTTTATTATATTGAAAACACTTACTTTGCATGTTCATGGCAATGGCTCTTCGATTATGCAGCCTCATCCTTTTTCGTGAATGCCTGATGACCTTCCTACTTTAGTTTCATAACACACCCCTGCCTCAATGCCATAGACGTTGACATCCTGGATCTCCACTGGCAGAACTCATGCCTCTCTTGAGTGTATGATCATAGATTTTCCAGCTTTACATAAATCAAACTCTTGGTAACAGCTCAAAGCATTAAAACTTCAGTATGTACGTTCAACGTCTGCAGATACCCAGCAGAGAACCCGAGCGCTATTTGCCTTTGAATCGACTTGGTTTATTTGTTCAGCCGCGAGAGCCTAATTTAGCTGAGACAGAAAATTCGTTGGAATTAACTCTAGGTTTACATGGGCACTGATAGATGCGTCACCGCTTGAGATTCTCATATGATAAACTATCGAGAGCATAGTGTATAAAAGGACCACGCGGAAAAAATCAATGTGCAAAATGTGAGGAAAATTGAGTCAACAGAAAATGATCAAATCCGATCCCAGAAACCCTGGCACGCCATGACTAACAACACAACTTCCCATGCCACATCAACCTATTAAGTATTTATTTATCTTTTGAATGTGATGAGGAGCTTCATAGCTACTGTTAAACCCGATAAGTTTGAAAGGCTATTACCTGTCCAAATACAAATTCAATCTCATGGGGCAGAAAATCATAGCAACCGAGTATTTAAGCGTAGTAAAAATAGTTTAACAACAGCCGTTGTTAGTGCTTGATTGAACTCCCTGACCCTGTCCGACCTGTACTGTTGGTTTGTTGTTTGCTGTAGTTGTCCCCATCCTCTCCTTGATTTGACGAGCCATGGTTAAAAAGGCTTGTTCAACATTACTGGCATTTTTGGCCGATGTTTCCAAGAATGGAATCCCGAGACTGTCGGCAAATTCCTACATTACGTGTTAGGATTAAATATGAATAATTACTTGATGATTTTTGTCATCGCGCCAGCAGCTTATGGTAGTGGGTCATAGGAGCCACGTACCTTCGCAACTGTGTACTCGACGACTTTCTTATCCGACATATCACTTTTGTTGCCTACAAGGAGTTTGTTGACCCCTTCTGTAGCGTATCTGTCAATTTCCTGGAGCCATTGCTTAACATTATTGAATGAATCCATATCTGTGACATCGTATACGACACAGATGCCGTGTGCACCTCTGTAATATGATGAAGTGATGGTTCGAAATCTTTCTTGCCCCGCAGTATCCCACTGAAACGGAGTCAACATGTGATTTACAGGTTCGTACGGAAATAGGGTTCTTACGATTTGTAACTTCACTGTTTTGCCATCTAGCTCGATAGTTCGAATTTTCTATATTGAAGTCAACTCTAGCTTGAGCATCTCAAAGTCTCAACGTACAAAGTCTACGCCGATGGTCGAGATGTAACTTTCGGTATATGTGTCATCGGCAAATCGTAAGAGCAAACAAGACTTTCCCACACCAGAATCTCCGATGAGAAGTAGCTTGAAGAGGTAGTCGTATCTGTTAACATAGTCGTGAGTAATAAGTTTGTGAGCTCAAAGGTTTCAATAGCCCTTAGTGGCTACTGGTGGGAGCGAATTTAGACTAGAGGTACACTATGGCGCTACAGTCAGTCATCATAAAGGTACGAGCTAGTCGCAATATTTGTGGATATCTGAGTGTCCTGGGCGCAAGGAAGTAACGTACTACTCGGGATTCATATTGACAGGTGCCTATTTTAATCAAGTGACTTGGAGTGATGAATATCAGAGGATGGGTTGCAGGATGTTTGGGTACGTGGTGAAGACGGTTGAATTAGAAGCCAAGTTGTCGAGATGTTGTTCTGGTACGAACATACTACCCGAGTAGCTAATGCTTAAGGGGACAGGGGCAGTTGACATATTTGTCACATGATGCATCGGCTTTGTGTGTCCAAGCTCTCTTTTACGGGTTACGGGACTGGAATGCACCCAAAATTTAGTGCGGGTTATTTTGATGCTTTCCTCATGTGAAGAGCCCTAGACCCTGAAGAAAAAACAATGGTGAGCTGATATTCATGCTTTCTTCGGAATTCATCTCGTCCTCTTGTAGACTACGTAATTTCTCTCACCCTATTCAGGCTTGTCGGTATCAGCCTCCGTCCAAGAGTCTCGAGAAGCAATAATTAAGCTGTAGGGCAGATATTACGAAGCCAACTCGATAGTTGGAGCCTTAGGCACTCATAATTTGCCTAGATTGTCGGGAAGCAGCTGTACGCCATGTTTGGTACCGTGATTGATACGCTCCTTCACTCTATCATGCACAAGCCAAATGTGATCAAAATATAGTACTTAAATTATAGAATGCGTATGTAACAATGTGGGCTGGTATTTGCTAGAGTTAATATGAGATGTCATTAAATATCTCTCTATTTATAGGATATGATGATATGAACGGTCTTGCGGTGTGTGCTGAGCTAAGTAGTAGATCCAATGTAAAACTGTCAACAATTTTGGGCTGAGGTCAAGAATCCGCTAGCCCGTCACCTGAAAACGTATAGAATTTTATTGTTATCAGAGTCTTCCGGTCTCGTCCTTGACAATTTAGTCGTACGTAACTCGGGGTCTACGAACGCAGTAGCTAACCGAAGGTTACGCTCAGATTGGATTCCCTTTCATTTTTGATTTCAATTTCGAGATTATAAATTATACCATGGTACTTGTGCGAGAGAGACATGCTGGGAATGTTAGGAATATTCCGAAATAATTAGCAAGACAAATCTCAGAGAGGTTACATCACCGAAATATCTGATATTAGCGAGGGGGAGAACAAAAACTGAAAAGCTCTCAAAGTTTCGCTCTAAGAACGTGCGTGTATGGTATTATATGAAAGCAATCTTCACCAAAGTTCTGCACAACAGAGGATTTTGGCCGAGAGGCAATCATTCACGATTTCTAATCACGTCAATTATTCGCTTTCAGCTTGCTAATTTTCAATTGAAGCCTTGTCTCATTAACATATACGACCTACTGTAGCTTACTTTCAATTACCTCACCCTTCATCGACACGTAGTCTTCCAAGCATACGCCTTCAACTCTATGGGCACTCACAGGAGGACTCAGTTCCATGCGCATTAATTTGGGGAGACAGGCCTCAAGGAAAGGCATATGAGTCTAGATGATATACGGATAGGAACAAGCTAAGAATTGTTGTGGCATCTGAAGAGGCGGAGACTCGATTCCCAGAAACAGGTTCCAATGTTTGGGATCACCGGGGGGGGAGGGGGCACCATGCAAGCCATGCAGCCGATTTTGAGAGGGAAGCCGATACTATAAATACGGTCAAAATTTGAATAATTGTATGAAATATGTGCCTGATTTACTAAAGTTGGTTCTTAGTAATCTACGCAACTAAGCCACTCGAGTAGGAAAGACTTTCATACAAATTTTTTGCCGCGAAGATAGGAAAGAAGAATGAGTCATTTTCAGGTCGCAAGAATTCTGCTGCGTCTTTTAATTTAGGCAGACTCTTTGAGCAATATCAAGGAATAAATCCACGACACGAAAGTACCATGTCAAAACTATACTATATTCTTGTATATATAATCATGGACAAAGGACTACCCTCTACCAGATAGTGTCAGAATGCTGTTTCATAGACAAGTCAAGTCATCATGATTATCATCAACGAAGATGGTTATTAGCAAAAGTAAATCTGATTAGAAAGGAAACTACCAAAAAGAAATAAGTCATATTCTGATCAGACTTACCATCTAAGCTGCGATTCTGTCTCAACTTGCTTTCTACAGCAATATCTGGCTCAGGCCTTTCGCTGATTTAGCAGGTTTGTCTCGGACTTTTATCATCTCAAGCGAGTTCTCAGACCTCTAACATAGCACGTCATCTCCCAAGCAATTGAATTATTTATCGTATCAGGCTATAGCCCTATACCCAGGAGGTTGACACGGATGCATGCTCCCGGAGATCTTCTACCACCAAGGTTGGCTTTATTTGGCCAGAAATTTGCATGATTGAAAACTAAAAAACTATCAAGGAAAATTCCTCTGAATAATCATCCTGCACATGGTCAGCTTTCTCTTCACAGTTTGCCTTCGATATATACTTTCAGAATTACTTTTGTCATTCTGTTCTAATTTTGCTCGGCGTAATATCCCATCACGGATAGGAATCGGTAAGATTACATCCATCCATTCTCTCCCAACAGTGCCCTTTTACTTGGTACTGTTTCCAGTGTGGATTCTCGCTATTTTGGTAGCGCTATCTTGCACTCCAAGAAAAGCTACTTATCCCCTAAGCAATTCTATTCTGTTATTCGTGATCGTTCTCGGACGCAAATCACTATTTTTTCAACATCCCAAAGGTTCAATATCTTTATGCGGCCTGCTCAAGCAAATGATTATAATGTCACATGTAATATTGTTATACTTTTTACGAGCGTTTCGGTACTTTCATCAATTACATCTTTATCCAGTTTCTATGTCTTGTCAAATCATGAAAATCTTGTGTTCCTGCATAGATGAGTCAGATATAAGTTTCGTCATCAACAACCACTCACATTGACATAATTCAAATGAGAAATAAGGAGGAAGAAGGGCTATCCATTATTTTGCTGATGGTTGCTTTCGACTAGTGTGATCCTCGCCGGATTTCGACAAGGCTGTTCTCAGCATTTTGAAATACAATAGTAGTAAACCTTCCTAATGCTTTGACCCTCGTCCCAAAGTCTGTGCAACGGGGACGTGGCGACTTCTGTAGCTACCCCTGCCACGACGTACCCATTAGACGGCCCCGGAAAGTATGGGATTTATAGTGCACGGGGTTCTCCACAAATCCATCAGTTACCCAAGCAGACACGGACTGGAATCAGAGTCTGTGATTGGCGATACTACTCTCGCTTAGGATAACAATGGGCACCTTTCGACTACATTCCTCCATACACAGATAAGCCCATAGATCTGTGGTTTCACTTCAGCCTTACTTATCATTGCACGTGCGTGTAAAGGATGCTAATGATCTTCGGGTAGTATCAACCTTTGGTTAACTCTTCCGTTTGCTAAATTAAATAGATATATTTACAGGGACAATCTATCAAGTAAATTAGAATGGGCTTGATAGCATTACTAGTCAGTGGAAAGGATCGCCTGATTTTATTTGTTTTTCAGTCCTGTCTACTATTTTTACAATCGTTTCCATAATACGCGTCAATATGCCAAGCCGTTAACGCCATTCTGTCCCTTGCTTACGTCCCAACAGCCATTATCCGTGGAGGGCAAGACTGAGCACCTGTACGCGGTGTCCTCTACGAACCTGAGAGTGAAATAATCTCCCAGAGCCAAGTTCAGTCAAATTTCGCAATATCAAAGAAGTTGGCCCACGAGGCAATGATTCAATTTACTCCACAATATCAATCTTTCACTCCCAACGAAATCGATTCCTACCTAAGCCTCATCAAGTGTACAAGTACGACCTAGTAAATCCTCGTTCCAGTGACCACGCCTCTCGTCGACTATTCTCTGGCCTCAGCCGGTCACCAAATACATGCCCACGCCGATATTTATAACCGACGGAAGAAGCAAAGCGTGGAGCACAAATCTGAGAGATAGCTCTTTGGGATGGATATGAGAGGGATCAGGACAAGTTTACAAGATGATGCAGAAGAGGAATACGTTTTCGACGGGCGTGAAATTTCGAATTTTGGCTGGAGTTTTACGAATTGAGCTTTGTGCGCGCTAAGACTTCGCTTGCGAGAGTGCAGCTGACACTATAAACACAAGCCAACGATGGAAGGTGTTGTGGTCCGCCTCCTGGTGGTGTTCTCTGGTATGGTTTGAGTAGCATGGGCACCTACTCCACTTGGGAAGGAGACATCTCAGATTACATTTCGCGCGGAGAAAAGTTGATGGATGACGGAGGCATGTCTGGGTAACTCAGGGTTTTTGAGACGTTCCCCTGGGTGGGTATTCACGGATGAGGGTTGACCCGGGGTGAAGAAAAAGCCACCATAACTTTGCAGTGGTACTTGCAAATGAAATCTGAGGCATGAGTGCTCTTCCTTTACGTTAAATCATCTATTCTGTACTTTTCTCTGATACTGTGTCATAGCTAGATAGCTGCATACGCAACTAAAATCTGATGCAAAAAAAAAGCCATTATCCGTACATAGCTGCATACGCTTTTTAAACCTGATGCGAAGAAATGGCCATTACTCACAAGCGAAAAGCTCCAACCTGAGGTTCCAGATATACAAACCGCAACACAATCAGGTGACAAGACAATGATTTGAGCATTTGTAATCGGCACGAACAGCGTGCTGGTTTATAGCAAACTTTTATTCGACGGGAAACATGGCCCATTAACAACGGCGAGACTTGACCATCCGACTATCTTTTAATCACGATCAAAGCCTTTACAATTTTGGCCAGAATGTAACAAGCAGAGCCAGGCTGATATTTGTAATATTTCTCATGACGCCTCCATAGATGAAAATTAGAAGTCATCAGAAGACATTTGCATTGAAATTCCGGCTAGTTCAAAAGCTCCAACGATATCGCCCTACAACTAATCATCGTATTACAATTTATTAATGGAATCCAATTGATTAAATCTTTTAGACTCTATAACTCACAAGGAGGGATAGAAACCCAATAACCGCTAGCGGTGCTATCTTTCAACTAGGTGTAAAATACTGTCCGAATATTGCGGCATGTACACGGTGATACAGCCGTTTTCGGAGTAAATTGCGAGAGATAGCGTGTGTGTAGAGGTTAGAAAAAGTAGGATGAAGCGGATGAGCGACAGCAAGAACAATCTTATATGATGGCAGAAGCGAAGACTCAATAAACTAACATCTCTCATCGTAGAGTTTGCAGAGCAAAGATTAATTCTAGAACTAGCTACGAGGTCCTCTATTTCCAATGAGTCTACGGCCTTATTCACTACCCAAGACAACAAAAAGTAGTTTGAATAATCTACCTTCCGGTACACATTCTCTGTCAACAATTTTCTGGCATTTCAACATAACCTCGGGTTTTTCCTAGGTCACAAATGACGAAAAGTAGTGAGTTATTATATTTGGTGCACACAAGTCCGTGTCGTTGGGTTAGTCAGCTTCTTCAATCGCCTCGGAAGGAAAGCTATGTCTTCAGGTTTAGTCCTGATGTCGGTATTAGGAGACTCCTGCACCATGTGGGTTTCGCAGGTTTTCCTGGCTGCTATACACCCTTCAATGGCTTAAGTTTTGTTGGCTGGAGATGAGAGATATTGAAAGGCAACACGCCTCTCTCAATTTATGACCGAATGAGGACTTGTGAAGATTGGAGCAAGAAAGGCTTTGAAGAGGGTAGACAACTCGTTGCATATATAACCTTGGTCTCTGGGCAGAAAGCGCTTACACATCCGATTGATTTATATACTGAGAAAGGACGACAAGTACGATAAAAAACAGATATGTGATCAAGTTTTACAGCCATGGATTGCTTGCAAAGCTACCCAAGCTTTTATGCCAGGATCAGGGCATGAATATCAGTATTTCTCAGAACATATCGACTCTTACGGCTCGTAAGTTAGCACTAGCAGCTCTTCGTAATCATACACTCAATAGGGGCTTCAATTCTATCCTATTCCGCGCTATGGTCTTCATTCCCGCAGATTATACAGTGTCTCGGTACCTGTGAAGGGACTAATCACATTAGCTATTCGCATGAATGTGTGTCGTGAATTAATTTATATTCTGTATAAAGAAAGAAGTACTACGAAGACTACATGCATATCTACTCGATACCGCGCGTCGCGTATGAATTTATGCAGAAGTTATCCTTTACACAACTCCTTAATCCAGCCAAGCCATGTACTCTAAGACTTCTCGATAAATGAACCAGATAAACTCCAGTTATAACTAAACAAGGCACTAGCCTGTAACAGTACCTACCTGACTCTTGCATCGACTTCTTGGCCATAGCACGAGAGACGCTCGTATCAAGCATGCATGAGGATGATTTTTGGTTGAAAGGGCTACAAATTTCGCCTGGGTATCTGGTAAAATGAGAACTTTGACAATACTTCACCTTCTGGATGTAGCCGCATAGAGGGTCTGTTGGTATGACAAAGGTCATACACTAAAAGTCTACTAGTTCACTTAAAGTTATGAGAGTACTTGTGTAAGTATTTCGAACTATTGTTCAGAAAAAATGCGCATTCATGGTTCATTCGTTATCTAGGTTACAATGATGCTACAAGATATTAACTATTTTGCGTTCGGATAAAGTATTATCCGAATGACGAAATCCACAACGAAGGAAATCGTTTGCATGTAAACCAAGAACCACCAACTCCAAGTAAAACAAGCTAGAGATGCTATTCCAACAGAGTCATAATAGCATCACCTAATTCTACATAGTATGACTCGGCACCGTGCAAACAATTAATTCTTTTTTTCGTCGAAATGTTCAACGGCCAGAGAGCTCCAGAAAGAGCTCGTGCTAGAAGTATGAAGAGGGAACTTGGGATGTGACGAACAGATTACCCGAAATTTAAATATAGTATGTCAATGTTGAAGATAAGTAGTTGACGAGTGACTGGACGGATGGTTAAGTTCCTATGCATAGCTTGATTGTCCTCGTATATTGGCAAAACACGAAGTAATACAAATTAGGTGCCGTCACGAAGTCAGTGATAAGGTCAATTAATTGGTATCTCGAAATACATATAATGTTTTCTCTCTCTTCTCCATCTCCCCTTTCTTCCTCTACTCCAAGCGCCTCACCAATGATCTAGGTCAGACCCCTTTCAGTGTTCTAACGACAACCTGAATACTGCAATTACATAGTACAACTCATACTGCCCAAAAATGAACCTTTTCCCGAGATCATAGTCAGTGACGGGACAGGGACGCTTCCCGGCTTAAAATTGAAGGGGTCTGTGAGCCAAATTCGAGTCTATAGCGTGCGCTGGAGACTCGAAAGAGATACCGCTAGCAAGTGTTGAATTTTCATCGTCTTCCCCGTCCCAAGAGCTCTTACCACATCTTACATGTTGCGCCTAGGTGTTCTACTTAGCCCGAATAACAGTCACGTCTAGAAATCAAAGAAACCTCGGTAGACTCTTTACTACCAGATGATATATTCCATCTTATTTGGGGAGTGAGCTCCTCGGGAAACCAGTAAAGTGCGTTCAGTATATTTAGTCCCAGTGAGTAAAGAGCGCAGCAATAAACTATCACAAGTTCTGGATTCAAGGTAAAGTAGTGCTCAAAAAGGCAAGGATTAGGACAGTACCTCTTAATAGTTTGAAGGTCAAAATTGTATGGAATACAAGAGTTATTTGAGATCTTGATATGCAGCAGAAGTCCATCACCGTCTAGCAGCTGTCGATAATATATCTTTCGAATAAACGTGTATATACGAAAGCTTACGTTCTCACCCTTGATTAGCAAGGGATTGGAAGATAATTCTAGTTTGTCGGGTTGATTTCAATGGTATGAAAGCTTACCATTCAAAGCTACAGGAAACCGCATTATTCTTCGTATTATAACAAGATATAATTTTCAGTCTAACCCATCTCCCATTAATTGCAAAGATGGATTTGAACTATTGTAGAAACATGGAATGCAGTATTTCACGTGCTATATTAAGCGGCTTCTTCGAAAAAGCTTACCAATCATCTATAGAGTTTCTAATCGTAATAGACGCCAAATAGCTTTCAATCATAATTAATCGACCTATCATATGGAGATGGTTTATAAGCATTCTCCAATGTGCATCTCAATCCAGTATATGTCCATGTAACTTCAACCATTCCTTTAATCGCCTCATATCCCTTTCTTGGTAGGCAACGCGCCCTAAAATGGTGTCACTAATAATTGCTAATGTTCGGTCGTAGCCTCTATTGTCTTTATTCGCAAAAAATGCTCGAATATCTTTTTCCGTATTTCGATCGTTAAACTTATCAAGACTCAACCGTAAGAATCTACTTAGAACAGTATTATTGTAGCCGAAAGTTTCTCGAATTTCATCAAAATGGTCTTTAATGTATTCCCAAAGAGCCATGCGAGACGTCGAGTTAATAGCCATGGCTTTCGCACCCGTGTGAACATCTTGGGTAGCTACTTCGGTAGAAAGAAAGTCGAGGTAATCCTGATGTAATTCTGGATATCGCGCCTGTCCAAGGGCGCATAAGGCGATCTCTCTACCGTCGACCGAAGCTGTAGTACGCCATTCACTTTTGAGAGCTCGGTATTCAGCTACTCCACCCTTTCGTATGGCAATTCCGAAGATTGCAGAGCGAAGATTTTGGTGAATAGCTTTCCTATCTTTACCGGTCATGTAGAGCTCAAACCGGCGTTTTGCTTCGAGTATTATACTGTAAAATAATTAATGAATATTGAGTCTTGAGCTAAAAGAGGGGTTAATTACGGGTAGAAGCCATTTAATCCAGCATTTAGGATAAGTAAAGAACGTAATTGAGTGGTTGAAATGTCTTCATCTGGAAGGGGCTCCCATCCAACTTTTTCCAAGGCAGGAGAGATTAGCTTCAAGATGAATAATTTTAGACCCTTGGATATAGATTTATTCACATGGAAGGCTAATTTTACTATACTGAGTGAATCAAGGATCTGTGACCACAAAAAGAAACTTGACTCAGACTGAAATCCCTCAATAAAGGTCAAAAGGCCTGACGTTGAGGCTTCACCAGAGAACGCAAGGGCGCCAGCATCGCCAACCATACCTATAGTTACAATGAGAAAAATTCTAGTTATGAGTAAAATGGATACTTGCCAATCTTATCAGATAAGCTGAGTTGATCTATCTGTTTACCGAGTTTGATGAGTCTTGAAGGTGGGTAAATCGTTCTAAAAAAGGCAGCGGTATTTTGGTTGATATGGTAGAACGTATCATCGATCCCATCAAACGTTGCCTCTTTGGTGGTCAGGATTACCGTGGTACAATCCTTGGATTCAAGACCCAAAGGCACCCACCATAGCGTATTGTTTTCTTCAGGGAGTAGATTACCTATAGAAAGATAGCGATTTTGCCTTACGATGATTTGACCAGGCTTTTCGACAATAGAAAGGATAGGAAACCCGATGCGTTTTATCCAGAAATCCATCATGCGCGAAATTTGTTTGCCCGATATTTGGCTCAGAGAACGCCACAAGTCTGCTGTCTTTGCATTTCCATATGCATGAGCTTTGAGATAAATACTAATACCTTCCAAGAAAATATCTTGACCGAGATAAGTGGCCAGCATACGAATGACTGAGCTACCTTTGAGATAGCTGATGGAGTCGAAAATTTGATCAACGTCTAGAGCATCTTTTACAGGAACCTCAATTGGATGGGAACTCCTTAGTGAGTCGAGTGTGAATGCAGTTTGCATACCCTCTGCCACAAATTGAGGCCAGACATCCCATTCTGGATGTAAATAGTCAGTAGCTAACCAACCTACCCAAGTTGCAAAGCCTTCATTTAGCCATAGCTCATTCCACCAGTCCATTGTTACGAGGTTTCCGAACCAGTGATGTGCTAGTTCATGTGCCACAACATAAGCAATCCTTTTTTTGTATCTGACATCCGAAACTTGGTCATCGAAAAGCAAAGCTGTCGTTCTGTACGTAATCAAGCCCCAGTTTTCCATACTTTAAAAAGTCAGTTGATTTGCACGTTACTTGAGAAACTCGGGAAGATCTTGGATGATCATCTTACGCTCCAAGTGACTAAATAAGGGCATAGTCAGCACTCCTGTTGTCAAAATCAATGATATACTTTCTGCCTAGTCTAAAACAGTTTCTATTGGCTATTCGAGCCACATTCTGGGGTAAATTTTGGTAAAGTAATAACGGAAAGATTCTCACAAATTCATGAACGGCAAGTAAATCACACTTTGGTAAAGGATAGTCGATGCCAAAAATTTCCGAAAAATAGTCCACAATCTGAGGGGCGTGTTCAAGAGCGAATTGACCCTGGTATTTTATACCACGTGTGGTATAAATTCGCACTGGAAGCAACTTATTCTCATATTTTCGCTTTGTAAAGGCTTCAATATATTCGAAGTCTCCAATGGCCCATGCAAGAAGGTATGTGCTCATGATGGGAGTTGTTTCGAAAGTCACAGTCTGAAGCCCCTGTTTAACTTTGCAAACGTATTTTACAGGCATATTGCTAAGAGCCACCAGATCTTCTGGTATTTCAAGTTGTAGATCAAAGGTTGCCTTGAGATTAGGCTCATCAAAGCAAGGAAAAGCCCGACGCGCATCACAACTTTCAAATTGAGTTGAAAACATGAATGTGTAGTCACCATCTCGAGGTAGCGATGCAGCTGGTATAGTTACTGGCTTATATTTCGACCGATAAAAGCCAGTCATGCAATAATTGATGGTGCCTTGGAATTTGATGATGATGACCGCTTCTGCTGAAACGGGTATTTCTTCCTCGTAAATAATCTTGACCCTTTGACTAGGTACATCATATGAAATTTTTTGAGGCACTAAGAATTTTGATGAACTCGCTGGGTCAGGGAAGATCTCTGCACTGCAGAGAGTAAGTTGGTAAGCATTCAAGGTAAGTTCCCTCGTTTTCTTTTCAACCCGGGAGACGATGCGGACGATTCCCTCATAGTTAAAATCTCCACCAAATTCCAGATTGAAAAGTGAAATGTCATATTGAAGAGGCTTGAAAAAGCCCGGGAGAATATCGCGATCAAGGTGCTCAGATGACTCCATGGTAGAAATGAGTCGATCTTGTCCACAGAGGGTGGATAGTAAAATATTTGTGAGTAGGAAGGTAGTTGAATGCGATAATAGGTATCCCGCTCAGGGATGATGGGTTGTGAACGGTAGCAACGGGTGAGAGTATTGGAGTAAGGTACCATCTGAGACGTCATGGCTAGGCGAATCTTCTGTACTTTATTTTCCAAATAACTTAGATCTCAACAACCATGATAGTAAGCATGGCCCAGACTGGGATTTGTTGGCTGCAGAGCTCTTACGTACGTCAAACATAATTAGAGACTTATTGCCCAGAGAAAGTAGTGTAGAAGAGATGGTTTGGATAACTCTTGGGATGTTAGTTTCGATGTAACACTGCAATAAGAAATTTTCAGATGGTCGTGTTCTGCCCAGGCAAAACAATAAGATCCCTGGTTTCTATCTTGTCCCACACGAGAATTTGGATGACATGTTCTCCACTAGTAGAAAATTGATATTTTTTAAAATTAACCCTGATTTGTTCGGTGGGATTTCATAAGGTATTTTTTGGCATTTTTTGCTACATTGGGTCTATGACTAGACTCGGATACACTCATTTTTCTACTTACAGGCTAAGAGTATCTACATTTCGGGTAATGTACTCTATCTTACCCCTTCTTCACGGCTTCTATCTAACGGTAATATCTCCACAAGCCTTCATTTGGCTACAAATTTTACTTGGTGTTGTACGTATCAAATGCAGGGATATGTTTTGATCAGGTAGTATCAGGTCTTAGATTTAAGGGCAGCCTGAAGTAATTCGAGTTGAACGTCACACGTCACTAAGAGGTCACAGGAAATTCTTTTGCGAAGCCTACTGTCTGATGTGTAGCGTATTAGCTGCAAGTTATTTTGAGCCTCCGACAGGACCGGCATATTGAGATAAAATATTTTTTCGATAGCCTAAGGTTTTAGATTATTCTACCTGACTTGGAACCCATTTCGTTGAATGTACTTGGTGGAATCTTTCCAGCATTATTCACCCAGACTTGTGCTCCTTTTACCAAGTGAGAATAAGTCAGCGAAAATAAATAACAATAGAAAATCTTGAGTCACTCAAATAGGCTCTCATCATTCTGCACCAAATCTTGGCTGTAAAGATGTTTTGCCTTTTCAAGCGTAAATCATTGTGATGGAAATTTACATTTCTGGGCTTACTTGTTCATTCGTAGAGCTTTCTATGTAGCGGATGAGAAAGCTTCATGTCCCACCTTTTTCAAAACCAATAACCAGAATTTCGCTCATTTGGTCACTTAAGAGTATCAGTGTTCCACGTACCGATTGAGGGACTCCATTAATAGTACTCAACTAAGTTCTTTATTTGATTCGCAAATATTTAAAACGATGCAGGTTTACTTACACAACGCAATCTCGTGTGGTTGAGTATCGACCAAAGAGATTTTCCAAGGACTTTGTCGAAATAAACTGTCGTCATCTTTTACACAATAGCTACGTGTTTACTTGTTTGTGTTTTGCCATGCCCGAACGAGCAACGATTTTTCATTAGTGGGGTAGGTGCCCAAGAAATTCTCTCGAATTGGTAGCGTCCCTAACGACGCATCACTGAGCCACCTGCTCCCTGATTATTCTAATCCAGACATGTGCGCACATCGGATATCCCAGCACCCAATAAGTATGCCAAGATTCGTCAGACACTTCACAATCACACACGTGGCGGCCCACTGTGATGGCGTGTGGAAACGTTTCCGAGCAACTGGGCATCAAAGGCGCGATGCATATCATTGCGCGCCTATGGCTAAAAATCTGGATTGGGCATGGAGAATTTCTGTGGAGCCCAGTGACAGAACATCAAGCTTCCATTGACTCACATTAGTAATTTCTTACAATCAACATAGAAAAATTATCTCTGTTTGTTAGGGTCCAAGCAGAATTGTATCACTGCGGATGAGTGACAACGGTTAATTCAACGAGTATCAGGTACCGACATGATTGTATGCTTAAATAAGTATTTGCTCATCCTTATCATCAATACTTGTGCAAAACTGAAATTTCCTACTGTGTGTGACGCGTTAATTATGGATTCGTGTTGAAGGCGCTGACTGGTCACTAACGGTTATGAAAGACGATGGTCATCTATTACACTTGACTGATGATTATAACAGAATCTTCCCTCAAATTGATAATATGTTGGATATTTTAAAATTCATGCTCTAGCCATCGCTGATAGTGAAGCTATTGATCTTATTTTCGTTGAGGATATGAATGATGCCAATTTCTCTGGTTTGAATCTTGGACGGTTACCCAACTCGCTACTGAAAAGGCTGACGAATATGGCATGGATCAGTGCATGCCAGCCCAACTTATCCGTACCACATCAACTGCTACGGAGTTCGGGCCTCATGAAGACAATTTCTAATTCGATGAGAGCGAAGACTGATGACATGCAAATGGTTTACACTATAAAATTACAAGCGAGATATCCCTTTTTTTTTAAATTTAATCCTATCGCAGGGAGGGGTTGAACTAGTAGGATTTTACGAATTTCGGCTGAAAATAGTTTTACTGAATATTTTGTTCAAAATACTGCAGGAAACAAATCCTACGAGATATTATACGGATATTGAGTAGAATAGTCGAGGTATTATTTTTACTAACTTATTGGCATGATAAAGGTCATAAACTAAAAGTCTGTTAGTTCACTCAAAGTTACGAGAGTACTCTAGTAAGTTGTTTGAATGTCGTTCTGTTGGGATTAGATTTCGTTTTTGATTCCTAATCTATTGTATAAATGCTATAGAATTGGTATCTATTGTACATATTATGGTTGGATGATGCAGTGGTGTACCGTCCGGGTCGTTCGCCCAAGTAGATATTGGGTAGCTTGAACACATTCCCCATTCGAGACATGAGAAAGCTGGTGTGAATCCAGTAAGAACTACACACTACACACTCTCGCGGTGATATTGTACTTGTGGGATGATTAAAGCATAATCGGTTAGCTATAGGTTTTTCACGCTTTTCTCTGTGGTGGGTATGCACGGAAGAGGTTTTACGCCGTAAGGGTTAACCTCGAGTGGTATCTGCAAATGAAATCTGAGTGTGACTGTTATAATCGTCAAATTGAGTCATCCTACTTAATGTACATATCTTCTGATAAGACCTGCATGGGCCTCAAGGAGTCAAATCAGGATAATGAATAATTATTATTATTATCACCCCTATAAAATATATTCACGCTGTAAACCCCGTATCTACAACGTAGAGACGTCTTTTGGATATCATGGTTTTTGTTAAACATTAGTGCAGCAATTCGATTGTTGTCTAGCAACTTCATTACTAAAGGATAGTCTCTAATTATTACAAAATCTAATGTCTCGCGATGCTTGCCTAGTATACTAATCTTAACCTTCACGTGATGATTACGACTTGGTCTGATACAAGCTATTTTAACAGTTTTAGATGGTGTCCAGGACATGTCGGCATACCGGGTAATGAAGCTGCTGACGCACTTGCTAAACAAGCATGCGCAACCCCTTCGCACCCCCTATCTCCAACAATCTCACGAGCAAAGAGAGACATAATCTCTCGATACAAAGCCTCTTTATCCCTGTACTGGTCTAAAAACGCTCCTGAACGATCCCAAAAACTGGGAATTAACGCCAATATTGGGAGCTCCCCCGAACTCAAGAGCCTTAACCGCTACGCTCTTGGTCGCCTTCTTGCAGCTCGCTCAGGCCATAGAGACTTTGCTGACTACCACCGCCGCTTTCAGCACTCGGACGCTCTTCTAATCTGCCCCTGCGGGCTAGAAAAGTCGCCCGAGCACTTCTTCTTTTGCCGACTCAATCGGAGTCGGTCCCACCTTTGCAGCGGAAACAAACACCCAACGACGGGAATTCGCTGGATCCTAGGCTCACCTGAAGGAGCCATAGCTTTTAGTAAATGGCTTCATGAAACGAGCTTTTTTGAAGCATGCAACAACAAGACTAATTAGTACCCCAAATTATATGCACTTGGCCTGTATTTGATAGAGCTAAATTTAGAAGACTTCTGGTCTAGGTGATGGATAACTTTCCCTTTCATATATATAACTATCTTCTCTATTGTATTAGAATACAAAAGTCTCAGCTCGTGAGTACTTTTGGCTTCTTTCGATAGTTCGGGGTGCTTGGCAGGTAGGTCTTGGCCCATTTATAACATATCGGGCTTATTTAAAGGTATCGACACGTCGGGTAGTTTATGTAGACTGAGCTGGCCAACACGAGACCTTGCGGTTGTGTTGTGAGCTAGCACGACGTTAATAATTATAAAAATAAATAAAAAATAGTTTTAGATAATCAGAATAGACTTCGTTGACTTCGTTCGATTGTTCAGATCACGACTTATTTCGTGACAGTGTCCCCTACGAACCTCCAGCTCTCACTGTAAAGTCTGTAGAGCCGAGATTGAGCAACAAAGTCCTCACTTCGATGGGGATTCCCAATCGCTTTCGCGGTCTCTATCGTCTACATCTCTCGACATATTCCCCTATCACCATTATCATGAAGCTAACCACAATCAGATCAGATGGTAGGGTCGAAGCCCTACTCATCACTCACCCTTGATCACGGAGGAAAAGCCACCCGATGAATTTCCGGAGCGTACCTAGCATCCGATACGGAGATGGTGGATTGGATCAAGTCGGCTTCGATTGTTGCAGAGAAGGGAGATGTAGATGAATATGGGCACCCCATGTAGTCCCGGTGTCTAGGCCCCGCCTGGTTGGGGCTGCAGGGTTTTCAAGAATTTTTCGGCGCACGCAGTTACCTTTGCTACAATTTTTTTGGGTAGAAGGTTCCGTAGAAAAGGTGGCCGAATTCCACGGGTAAATACTGAGCTATATGGCTATTCATCAAGGTTAATATATTAATGATTTTTCAAGAAAAAAGAGAGGCACGGAGCACTGTACAAGGTGTGGCCTGGGTTAGAGAGGGGCCCAATGTGCTAGATATTCTAAGATTAAATTAGTACAATAAACACAAAAACATATATGAAGTGGATAATTATAATCGACCAAAAGTATTACTTTCGTAAAAAAACCTGGATGTGTCTAGAGTATAGTTTTATTCTAGGGCACAACATCATGGGCGTTTGGTCTAGGGGTATGATTTTCGTTTCGCACTACGGTTCGTCTACGAAAGGTCGTGGGTTCAATTCCCACAACGTCCAGTTTCTTTTTTGACGTGTGCGGTCTCCATTGCCAAAAACGTAGATTACTAGTCATGAATCTCCATCTCATGATTTACATTGCGAAGGCAACCTAATCTCGTGCACTGTAATTTACACCTGAAGCCACCAAAGGTAAGCTTCTAATCTTCCAATGGTGCTGGTGTTATTGCTCAATAAATCGGATGATACATGTTCTCTAAAGGTCAGGCAAGTATCCTTCGGGTCCAGCCCAAAATTTATCAGTTATTCCACCAGATCTGGATAGCGTCTCAAGAGTGCACTCTTCATCTTAAGGTTCTTGCAAATGCTGGAAAATAAGCAACGAGCTAGCCATCAAACTAGTCAAAAGTGAAAGTTATAAACTAGTAATGAGAAGGCTCGAGTTTATATCTCATTGATCTGTGAAACAAAAAGTAAAAGTATTCGAACCGGAGACATATAATAGAGACTGGAACCTGGAGCCTTAGCACGCGGAGGGAGACCGAAAAGTTGAAGAACTTGGCCAGTAATATAGGATCCAAGCTCAAACCATCCAACCCAGCCTTTCTTTCAAACTATTAAAACTTCAAGGTCACAGTTGGATGGCAGAGTCACGATTCTTCCTTGCAAGACTTGGGATTGGAAATACACGAGTCCATCTGCATATGTTGGAAAAGTTGGAGACAATATACGCAATTTTCGTAGGGAAGAAAGATAGCACGCGCGACACCTATTACTAAATTCTCCTCAATTCAGAGATCATAGTTACCGATATTTTTAGGGTATAGAGCTAAGAACACGCAAAATTATATCGAACGAGGAGAGGAAGGGAAGCTCTATAAAAATATTTGGACACACCCAAGTGCATGGTAGCACATACAGGCAATTAGACTAGGACACCTCAATACCAGATTAACAAGGAATCTACGGAACTAGATCTAAGAGGTCTGGGGGGCTAAAACATTGTATGTATTGTGTCATAGCTAGATAGCTAATGACATAACTACTAAAAACGATTACTCTTTTATTTGCATCAGATTTTAATTGCGAATGCAGCTAGCTAGCTGTGAGACAAAATCAGAGAAAGAGTACAGAATAGATGACTCAATGTAAAAGAAGAGCACAGATGCCTCGTATTTCATTTGCAAGTACCACTGCGAGTTGATGGTGGCTTTTTCTTCACCCCAAGTCAACCCTCATCCGTGAATTCCGACCCGCGGAAACGTCTCAAAACCCCTTAGTTATCGAGACATGACGTCTCCAACCGATTACTTGCCTCCGCACGAATCGCGGTCTGAGGCGTCTCATTCCTAAGTGGAGTGAGTGCCTAAAGAATCACTCAGTATGTCCTGCGTGTCTGGTGTGGCAAAGAGGAATCGCATTCGAATCGAAGTCGAAGGTAAACACGAGTGTATCAAACATCGACGGCTTCTCATCGATGTCGGTCTCGTTAGTCTTACACAAGTTCTCTACCTCTATATTACTAAACCATCACGCCTCAACGACCGATATCGTCGCTACTCCATTTGCTTACGAAGCATGCCCCATTAATTTACTAATCATCTCCCACTACAAAATTAGGACGCTAAGTTTATCCGGCAAGGAGGAAATTAAGTGGTAACATACAAATCTCAGATCTTGATTTGTGGGGGACTGTTGTTCCAATGGGTTTACACAACTCGGAGGATGTTTGGCGGTTGAGCTATCCAATGAGAAGTGGAAGACATCGTAAATGGCCGGCTAAGACTGAAAATTTTCGAGGTGTTTTCGACTTTGGAACGTTTGTGGGCGCCAATACCGAGATAACGAGTGGCTATCCGTGAGGGCTTCTACTAGCCATGAGTCTACGGCACTCCCCAATACCCCAGAAGGCATAAAAAAGGTTGCGCTAGGGCACTTTACAGAAATCACGCTCTGTAAAGCCTTTCATGATATTTCAGCACGGCCTTCGGAACGGGTTGAATGAGGCTACAAATTCAGAGAGTTAATTTCCTTCAAAATAATTCTGTGACATCTAGCCGGCCGGCCTCTTCGAATGCTTCGGAAAGGTAGCTTTGTCATCGGATTTAGTCCTGATATCGGTGGTAGGAGAGCTCGGGACCCGGTGATTTTTACGAATTTACCTGATTATCATACACCCGCAAATGGCCATCATTTGTTATCTGGAAAGGGGAGTCAGAGGTGAAATTTGCCCTTCATTAGGTGCATGATGAGTGAGGACTTGTGAGAGTCGTACTGTTTATAGGAAAGCTGTTTGGGAGGCATAGTAGGGGAAATACTACAAGTTAGGTATTATTGGCCTAGAGTTAGAGAGAATCTACAGGTCCTACATTTTCATAGACAGAGAAAGGACACTAAAAGGATCAATAATAACAAAGTGATGACTGAGGTGTGACATTTTCCTTTAAAAAAATGGGTTGAAATGAACGTATTGATACACCAACGAGAATTCAAAAGTCTATCAAGTAGAATTTAGCAGTCTTTCATAATCTTAGATACAATAAATACTTTAGCAAAGTCTAAATTTCATCGAACGCAAGAGAACAACATCTTGATAAATTATCGTCTGCGCGTGTCCGGAGGAATCATACGTGGAGCGTGGAAAAGTTTTATTGTGCTCAAGATAGTTGGAGTAACTTATAAAAGAAAATGTTATGGTGATCACAGATTGAAAACTCTACCATCAGGATAGTTTTCGAGTATAGTGTGGTGAGAATAACTTTTGAACATGATTCCTAAAGTAATACGTATTTTAACCATCGAGGCAGTCATATCATGTACGATAATGTGAAGTATCCAAATATCTAGTGTTTGCAACAATTCGAGCGGCCACATTCCTTGTAGATGATTTAATTTTTAGTTCTGGATGCGTTCCAGATTAGCCCCAAAAGCAATAGATTAGAGCAAGGAAATGCGAATTACTTTTTATTTCGTGCTTGATGGTTTGAGCTTTGCTTGGAATTAGCTATTCAAGCTACCCGCATTATTTTTTTCGTAAGACCTAGCGAGACAGAAGAGTTACATGAATGTAAGTGATCGAAGGTGTTGAGACATGAGTGGGTTGATTAGGTATTCAGAGTACCGTCTGCCATAGCCACATATTTCTACCGACGTTTTCAGGTCCTGGGGACAGTTCCTTCCAACTTCATGTGACCGTGCAGGCAATGTGGAGACGGGCTTGGGAAGTTGAGAGAGTACTACCAGCTGTGGTAACTATTCATCTCCACGACGGCCACCGCGACTATTTCCTCCATTGCGTCCACGTCCACGGTATCCATCACCTCTGTAGTTTCCTCGACCTCTGTAGCCATCACCCCGACCTGCACGGTTACCGCGACCTCCACGGCTTCGCTGTATTTCTCGGAAGCCGTCATCTACTGCAGGAGGAGCAATACTTGGAGCCTAGATTAAATTAGTAGAACTCCTAGGGCGCACACAGGTTTGCTTACATCAGCAGGACTTTCAGGTCGATCGTCAGCCCAACTTTGAACCTTGGAATGAGCGGCAGAGCTGTCAGTTTCGCTAGATTCAGTCGGAATTACGCTTGGTAACTTAATCCATTCTTGAGACTGAGATAGATCGCTGTTTCCGTTTAATTTATGCTCAGCTGCGGCATTGGTAGCCTCGTTACCAAAGCCTGAATTTCTTATGATACCCTGGCTCCCAGAAGGCTCAATGTTACCATTCGTGAGGGCGGTATCTGTATTAGCATCAGTTTCTGTAAGACCTGCATGTATTATGGTTGGATCTCCCTGAACAGTGTATTCCGATGATTTTACAACTTCGTCACTTTCAAGAAGTTCATCAACGTCGGCATATGGTACTTGTGCCAGTGACGCAGCCCTGAGTGTAGCATCTTAATACTGTCAGTTGTCTCATGAACTTCGCATAAAAAGATCTTCTTACATGTAGTATCGAGATCCTCCCCAGAGACCGACTTCAAGGTCTTTTCAGATCCATTTATCAAATTGAGCATGGCAGCGACAGCTGCCGAATCACCAGAGTATACCTGGGCTAGAAGTCCTTCTAGTGCTTTACTCTCATTTAGTTCTGCAACTTCTTCTTCTGCCCTTCTGATTGCAGCAAGTTTGAGGAACTTGGAGAGTAGTAGTAGACTATCCTCCAATTCTTTTGCTGCAGTCTCTTGTGCTTCGGATTTTGTTGTTGTAATCGCATCCTGCAACTCCCTACTAGCTTGCTCTTTTAGGTTTTTCTCGAAAATTGCCTTCTCTTCTTGGTAACGAGTCTTAAAATCATGGTCAAATTTCATGTACTGAGAGACTTGTTCTTCTAATTGAGCCAAAGATGCCTGTAAGGCTGGTTTTTTAAGTATTTGAGCTTTTTGATCAGCATTAATTTTGCGAGAGGCTACTAGCTCGTCGAGAGTTTTTTCAGGGTTTTCTGCAACGATATTATCCACCCTCGAGGCATTTGACTTGATAATTAGTTTTCTATTTTGAAAAATTCTTAACATTTACTCACGATCTTTTTGTTTATGTTTCGTATACTCCTGAAGTATGCTGTCAGAAATCTTTTCACATTGAAGCTATATTTTTAGTGCAAATTGTTTGACATACTTTTGTAACTCCCGGAGATATGGACTTTCATATGCACTCTCTACAATGTTGCTATTATCTGCGATATCATTCGAGGAAGCTTCTTCTGGTCCAGTTTTGGTGTTAGATTGAATGTCAGATTTCGAGTTAGATTGATCTAAAGTTGCGGCATTCATAGCTTTCTTATTTTTCGGAGCCTTGACATCAGATTTTACTTGAGAGTTAATTGTTACGGATGTAGTCATTGTGCAAGTTCGAGTGAGAAGCAGAAACTTCAAAGTGTAGAGTGGGAGACTTGAATGCTTTCTTTGTGGTTGTACTTGAAGTTTAAAATTGGGCTGTCTCTGTCAGAATTGTAGAGGGGTTTTGAGAATGGCTTAATTTTCATCGAGACTTCGTGATGTGGTTAGGGTTCGTTGACACAATTGGAGAGCTCTAATCCTTGTCCATCCAATACCCTATCTGCCTTAGTTACGCAAAGGCTATAGCCCCGAATGTTATTGATTACAGGGCTTGCTTCTCGGCTAAAGTTGCGCATCATAAAGCTCGAGATTGATTCGTTGCCGGTCATGCACACTTAGCGATTGCAAAATTTGTACATTGTCTATTGTCAAGCCTTATGATGCGGTACATTTGGATCCATTTGATTCTCGTCTAATTGTCCCAGCCTAGAATTACATCAAATATTTACATCAACGGATAGCATGCAGGTTGACAAAGACGTTGAGAATCAAAATCGGAAGAGCTTACAGTATTCTTAGTGTGATTAAATTAAAAACAAATTTTTTTAAATATGGTAAATGGTAAATGCCTCTAATCAAAATTAAGACTCAGTGTTTTTGCTGCTTAGTCAAATGTATATATAGCCACTCAACAATTGCACGAATCCAGCCTCAGGTTCTCCCAAATCGACAAGATATCTTCAATAACTAATAGCTATCAACTTCTTCCTGACTTACTATAACAACCTACCATGCTAGGGGGGGAAATAGAACATCTGTCCGTGGTATCCTCTAAGAACCCAAGAATGTAAAATTTTGAGCCAAATCTTGCAATTTCTAAGGAGTTAGATCACAAGATGATTGTTTAAAACTCTCTAACTCCCAATGAGCTTGAATCCCACCAAAGCCTCATCAGGCTTACAATTACGACATAGTACATCCTCGTTGCAACAACCACAACTCTAGTCAACCCGCCCTCTGGCCTAAAATAGTCACTAAATAGTCACCCACGAAGACAGAACTTCCCGCAGTACAAGAGTCGTGGTTCATAAACCTGAGTGATAGACAGTGGGGACGGAATCAAGAGACATCTAGATGGATGGTCAAGATTACGCTTGTGATAGATAAAATTTTGGAACAAGATAGATTTTGGTCCCTGCGGAGTATTTTATAGATTAAAAAGCATTGTGGGCTATATGACTTTTTTTGGTGAAGTGCATGAGACAATTAAGATATTGCTATGATCGTATGGGGAAGCAGTACATCATCCAAACCAGTCCCCTAAGTAGAATCTAGATAGCTTGGATAACTAACCCACTCGAGATGGGAAATCACTGGCTCAAATCTAGCAAGGATTATTCACAATACTCGCGATGCCGGTGCGTTTGGGCACAGAAGTGTCGAATATGGGATTGTTTGGATGATATAGCTTCAGTCAAACTGTGTCTATTTATGAGTCGTGATGCATAGTAGATGGTTATTTCTTATTGGGATATTTACTGGGATGCTTGAAGGGCAGACTCAAGCAGAATCGCAATGTTTCTAGAGTGTGTAGTCCCGGTATACTGGGGTTAGACGTTCATGCACTTTTTCATCATACGTCAATTTTCCCAGGAGACGTATGTGTATTTGCGGAGGATTCCTCAAGATCAGAAAAATACTTCATCTATTAACTTATAATTTACATTTTTAATTTGACCCTCAGTACCAAACGCGAAGGCATGCTTGGACAATCAAAGATTTCGAAACTTCCCTGTGGTCGGTATCCACGGGAGAAGATCGGCTGTTTGTGTATGCAAGTATATCTCGTAGTGGCATTCCCGAGTGAAGGCTTTGGTACAAATGTCTCTTAGGTCAAGATTATCAAATCTTGTGTGAAGATGATCTCGATGATGTATCAAAGCCAGGTAGCAGAATACACAAGGACTGATACAAGAGTCAGCCGTAGGAAGTTCATAGCGAACCAAACTAATCAATTAACCACCTGGTAGGTACCAATTACCGGACAACTCAATGCCCTCGCAAATAAGGAATAAGGCATTCCAACAAATTCAAAAGGTAACTATAAATTGAATATTGAATAATGACCCTCAATGTAAATAGAATCGACCACAAGCATTCAGCCCTCTTCAACCTTTGTACTTCGCTAGTGTTTCCTGTATATCACGAGGTTAGTTTTACCTGTGATTTGTGCTTGAGATTATGTTACCTCAGTGACTTTCTTCACGCTGTTCATGCTTACTCCCCGCTCTCCTGCCTGCCTCGCGTTGATCGAGGCCTCTCTCATAAGTCTAAAAGAGCTGCTCAGCACGAATTGGAGTACACGAGATATGAATCTTTGAGGGTCACCGTGTTGTAAGATGTTGTTGCATACGTTTGTAAGAAGAGAGAATAGTCCAAAAATATCTAATATTTATCAGTTTATTTACATGTAACTTGAAAAGGTAGGGGTAATACCAGGGAGTCTACAGTTTTGCTGACATTACACTTTGAGTGCGCCTTTACTATTTTTCGGACTGTTGCCCGGGGATATACTTTCTGACCCGCAGCCATCGAGACGCGTTTATCTGAGGTTAGTTGTTATCTGATGAGTCTCGAATAATTCTTGAATCTGCATACTGTGTGAAAGCCCGGAAGAATTTTACGGCTCACATGGTGCAATGGTTGACCGACTAACCTAATCTTCCAAGCAGACTGCAAATTGCCTGGTCAGAGATCCATTGAGGCAGGAGGTCCCTGGATCACACACAATACTAATCGGTTAAATTATTCATTGTGCATCAATCGCGGGATGGCGAAGACATGAGCGGAGAACAAATACTGAATACCTGTCCATGGTATACACTTTAAACATTGAAGTAAAATCTTTCCGCAGAGCCAATTAATTCATTTATTCTTTGGTAGTCTTCCGTTGTCTAGGAATTTGAATTTGAAATCTTTTACGTGACAGGAAGAACCCAATATCTATTTAGACGTGACACGGGCAGATGGGCTATGAAAGCTCATTGCTAGCTACATGATTGGCAGTGAAGCCAGAAGCGACAAAAGAAAAGAATGAATCAAAAGGAACAGTAAATGTCTCAGTTACGGTGCCCTGCGCCGCATCCCTATCTTCCACACCCATCTCCTCTTGGGTCAGAAACAAACTCTGCGTGGTCACCTCCCACCCTGTTCATTCTTCGGCAGACTGTAACATCTGCTTGTAGTTAAGAATTGAATGAAATTCTGCCATCCATTCTTCCCTATCATTTCCCTGGCCCCGGGTCGGGCCATTTTCTCATTGCTTCTCCAACGTAGCAAAGCAGGTCGGCACTCTGAAAAATGCCAGGACCTTTTCTCTCGGCCGCAAACGCATTTCAGATCTTCATGTTCGGGGTTGAAACGTCGATGGTAGTCGGCGTAGTCCCCGTGGTCTGTCCTTGCTTTCATGTTGTATGTCTCGGTAGAGACTTAAATTTAAATCAATCAATCATTTATCCTATATTTGTGTTGTATCCGTTCATAACTATATTGGACACATGGGTCCTCTATCTACAGGCCAAGAGAGAGAGAGAGAGAAGTTTGTTTATTGTACTACTTGAGACTGTGACTATCTAGCACATTGGGCTCCTCTCTGACCCAGGCCACACCTTGTACAGTGCTCCTATCCTCTTTTGTTACTTGAAAGATCATTGATATATTCCCCTTGATGGTTGGCCATTCAGCTCAGTGTTTACCCGTGGAATTCGGCCACCTTTTCCACGGAACCTTCTACCCAAAAAAGATAAAAATGGTAGCAATGGAAACTGCGTGCGCGGGAAAAAGTCTCGAAAAACCTGCAGCCCCAGCCAGGCGAGGCCTAGACACCGGGACCACATGGGGTGCCCATATTCATCTATATCTCCCTTCTCTGCAACAATCGAAGCCGACTTGATCCAATCCACCATCTTCGTATCGGGTGCTGGGTACGCTCCGGAAACTCATCTGATGGCTCTTCCTCCGTGATCAAGGGTGAGTGATGAGTAGGGCTCCGACCCTAACATCTGATCTGATTGTGGTTAGCTTCATGATAATGGTGATAGGGGAATGTGTTGAGAGATGAAGACAATACAGACGGCGAAAGCGATTGGGAATCCTCTTCGAAGTGAGGACTTTGTTACTCAATCTCGGCTCTATAGACTTTACAGTGAGAGCTGGAGGTTCGTAGGGGACACCGCTGACAGGTGTTGAGAATAGTCCCCAATGGCCATTGTTTTGTTGGCTAGAGAGGGGAGATAATGAAGGGCTAAGGGCTGCTCTTAGTGTATGATCGAATGAGGACTTGTGAGGGGTGGTACTGTTTGGGGGGAGCTGTATGGGAGGCAAAGGTATTGTGAATACTTCGGGTCATGTTATGAACTTGTTATATTTAATCTGTATGTGGTGATGCAGGGGTTATCTTCTTAATTCGGTTAGGTCTGAGGCTACGGGATTTGTATTTCTTCAGGCTGGAAATTTGAATTTGTTCTTTAGTTCTAACAATTTTGTTTCTTTTATGTTTATTGTATAATTTGCTTATTGGGAACTCGATATTTTGATAATATGATAATCTGAACATATGAATTCGTAACTTTGATAATCCGAGCCTCGATTACCTTCATCCATACCTTCGTACCTTCGACCTTCGTAACTTTGTAACCTCGAACCTTCGATAATTTGTCTTCGTCGAAATCGACTCGACTTCTGCAGCTTAGCAGCTTCGAAAATCTGCCAACAAGTAGATTCATAACAGGTCAGCTCTGATCGAGCCTCATCGGGCTCCCACCATCGCGGCACTCGGACACTCGGCCGCAGTAAGCTAGATGAGATTAGGGCACTGATAGCACAGCTAAGTACCTAATCACTCTGGCAACATCCCTACATCCATAATCATCTGCATCCATTTCAGGTATTCCTCTGTCCCCTCATGACCTCGTTATCATAACAGATTATGAGCCCGGTGCTTTTCTCTGCAAATCAAAGACTAATTCTCGTTGAATTATTGCAGATAAAATAACAAGAATAGACATGAATAACGAAAGCATGATTATCCTCGGAACAGGGGCTAATTTTGTCGAGTGGGAAACCGACATGCAGACAAAACTTGTTAAACGTGGCCGCCACGGCCATGTGTTCCATGACATCGACGGAATTCCCCCGGCAATCAGGCCAATAGCCCCTGAACGGACAAGTGGCATGACTAATGAAGAGTTCCTCAGCAGCCAGCAAGAGCACAACAAATGCCTAAAGCAATGGGCTGAGGGAGAGATCGACGCAAAAGGGATGATGGTTCGCAGAATGACGGCCGCAATAAGGCCACCAAATATCCGCAAAATCACCGCCAAGCAGCTGTTCGACAGCATAGCCACATCACGAGAAGAGGGAGCATGCAGCCCTTACGAAGCCGCAGTCAGAGCTTTCCAGCAGACCAAGATGACAGCCACAGCGGACGAGTACTGCAACGAGTTCCTGCGAAATCTAATCTCGGTGAACAACGCAGCAGACTCGATGTTCACGGTGAATCCCAGGAATGGCGACGTACCTAACCCGTACACGATTAACCTGGATTGGCCAGCATCTTTTTCGTTCTCGGTACCGATGATGTACCTTGGCTTGACAACTGGAGGCAGACACGAACGACGACAGCAGATAGCTATATGTGCCCCTCAACGCGATGATGGCCACTATTCGGCTAGTGAAGGAAAGACCTGCCGCAACTGGCAGAGCAATGGTTGCAGCAGATAGACGACCAAAAACACGAGACCGCAACATGGTCGGCTATGACGAAGAGAGATGCCAGCTCTGTAAACACAGGCATCTGAATAAGAACTGCCACAAGCAACAACCAGAGTTGGCACCAAAAAGAAAGGGAATTAGTTAAGGAAACCAAAATTGGAAAGAAGCGGCTCGCATAAGTATGGCCGAGGAAATATCGGATGGAGATAGCGACGGAGATGACCAGGTCGTGTACTTAGGCAGATCTAGTAGAGCTCCAGCAGCACCAACACGGAAAACTAGTCCGAGTGATCTTCCGAGATGGAGGGTCCGAATTCACTCGAACCAAGACTTTCTGTGACGAACATGGTATTCGCACAGACGTATCAGCACCTTACACGCCGGAGCAAAATGGTACAGCAGAATCCTCCAATAAGGTCATTTTAAGAATTGCAAGGTCAATCATGATCGACGCCCACATGTGATGGGCGATCAACAAAACAATATAGTAAAGGAATGGTGGCCGATTACTGTCTATTTTCTACATACATCTCGGAACTGTCCACCGAGGGGAGGCTACTTAAGGTGTCCCAACTCCCAATGCACTAACCTCACTATCTATTCTACTTCACCATATCTTTGATATTCCGAGTGGGCTCCTCATAGCGAATCTAGGTCGTATCGACCCATGATTCCATATGAGACTTGCTGCAACAATATCTTGTTTCCATATTTGTTGCAACCCTGTATTTGTATGGCCAAGTTGGACATCTCTTTAGATAGCAAGGCTAATGACGTAATAATGATAAGTGTCCGTGCGACAGTCACTAGGAGATAGGCACAGCCTGTAACACCACATGCCTCCAATGTTTTGGCCATGGGCTATAGAGCACGCATGTTTTCTAAGCAATCGTCTCTTCTGCCTCCGCACCAAAAAGGTGCCTATAGTCGACTTCCTACAAGGCTTAATTCTACCGCACAACGAAAAGGTCGACTTAAAATTGCTACCTCGCTTCGGCTGCCGCGCATGCAAATTGTTAGAACCCAAGAGCGGCAAGTTCGAAGCAAGAGCAGAAAAAGGGTGGTTTTTTGGGTTACAAAAGAACACCAGCAAGAATTACCTAATCTATCACCCTCGTTGGTCACAAGCGCAAGGTTATAAATGGATAGAAAGCTTCACCCCGCACGCCACCTTCAACGAGGATGTAATGTTTGGAGACGCCTTTGATTCAATCCAACAGCAGAAAACCGCAAGCTACTGGGCCAACGAAACAAATCTAGCCGCAGACACATGGCAGGGCCACATTCCGCCTCGGAGCATTCAACCCGCATCAGGGTTTGAGGGGGAGCTTATGAATAAACCCTCCTCAGCAACTAGGGCACCGCCCGTCTCCAAAAACGAAGCATCAACTCCACTACCAAACATACCAGACATTCCGCAAAAGGCATGGTCACTCAACTCTGCCGACCAAGACGATCTAAATGCTACGCAAATCGAGCAATACTCGCACAAAAAGTCAGATCCAAGAGAAGGCACATCGCCGCAGGCACCAGAAGACACGGAGCAGCAGAAATCGCCCCGAAAAGTCCAGCAGCCACAGGAACAGGGGGAGCCCGCAGTCTCAGAGCATACAACTATCACTGATCAGCAAGCGGTATCAGTGTCACCTACATCTAACGATCAGCAGCAACCAGTAGCGGTCCGGCTAAGCGCCCAAGAAACCATACTCGACAAAATCATGACCGGATGGGACGACATCCCACAAGTAGTCGGCCACAAACGACAGCATTCCTCAGAACCGACAATGTCACAAACTCTGATCAGACACAGTCAGAGAGGG